AGACGTTGCTTACATAAAGAAACCAAGCCAAACTCTGAAGAAAAGCGCGGCATAGTTAGAAATCGCATTGAATTCGGCTGATATTGATCTTAACCCCAACGTACTCCTGCCTTCGATCATTCGATTCTTATCCAGACTTCTGGGCTTTACAAGGATGAGTTTATGCATATAAAGTATAAAAGCACCTAAGCTTCTATGCTGCAAATGGGGACCTCTAATTTCAGGTACACCCTTGAAATCAAGGCAGTTTCGTGTGACGAGATGTATGTGGATTTTACGAAGTTACTGAATGAGGTGTCACCAACTATTCAATTCCTTTTTGAACGATATTGAAATTTTTAGCATCACTTTCGTTTATTCCGTTAGATTTGTTTTATTCATTCAGATGCGTATTGGCGACGTAACGGCTTTCGCTGAGCATCTACGTACAGAGATAAAATTGGAAACTGGTTGCACCGCTTCTGTTGGAATAGGTTTGTTATATAACTTAAAATTAGCTCGGTCTGATAGACTTTAGAGTTCGAAACGTTAAAAGGAATTTGTGATAAAGAGAAACCTTCTTCTCGTCGAGTTATCCGGAAATCATCATTAGCGATACCACTGTCACACTACTAGTCCAAATGTTCAAACGATTTTATTAAAGGAAAAAACACTCTCATAGCTCGCCTGGCAACACGCCATGCTAAACCCGATGGTGTTCGATACGTGCCTGCACTTGAATCAGATTTTTTTGTAGCCAATGAAAAAGTGAGTTTTCGCTTATCATGTAAACTAGTTTGTCACATAGTTGCGCAATTTGCAGGTGAAGAATTTGCCTGGGTTGGGACATCATACGTATTCCAAGCTTATCAGCAATTTCGGTAAGCAACGCATCTGTTAGCATTCGTAAAAGAAGTGGTACGTAAAGAAAGAGCATACACTCTGCGTAATTTCTTGAACTTTTGGTTAGAGTTTTTTTTTTGTAAGTGGAAATTAGCAGATTGCAATACTATGCAAAGTTTTACTTTAATTATACTTATTACTCTATAATAGCATATCACATCCATAGGAAAGCTCCCGGACGCTTTCACAGATTTCCACAAGGCTGTAGTAATTCGTTAAAATTCGACTTTCTCTACAAATCGAAGCATGCTTGGAGTGTTCTTAAGGCAACTCTGTGGAGTTTATGTAAATGGTGCAAGCCGACAGCGGGAGGGTGGAAGAGAGAAAGTCAACTTGAAATAAGTGGAGATCCGTTGAGCTTCAGTTCGTTAGAGTTCGGCTAGGGAAGTATAGTGGATAAGATGTACGTTTACGAAAAGTTTTTACCGTTTCATAGTATTGAGTCAAAAAACGGTCTTTCAGGGCACCTTTAAAATGCCCAAAAATTGAACGTTACATACATCGTATCAATATGCATGTGAAGATCTGCAACAAATAACAAACACTTCATTTCGCTACTAGCTTCTATTCTGGTGACGCGTTTGTCGCGTTCTGTGGAAAACCGACATCATTGCGAAGAGTGCGCAGCCGTGGGTGGTACAGACAGTAACCTTATCACTTCACCCCTATTAATGTTTGATGATTTACTCAGACCTCGGCGGCAGGCCTCCGGAGGGCAAGCTGGAATTCTTTTTTGTGAGAAAAGCAAAGGGGAAATCGTATGGGATCCGGAAAGGAGTTTGAGTTCAATCTTAGTTACAGCTTTTTTCACAACAGGAATGTTGAAGCCGACTCCCCCCCCCCCCCCCCCCCCCCCCCCCCCCCCCCCCCCCC